AGCCTCGCAACGTCCAGCCGAGTGTGTGTGTGTGAGGAAGTCCACGGATTGGTCCAAACGTAACGGCTCCGCGGACGTTACGTTACGTCACTATACCCGAGAAGTAAACAATGGAAAAAGAGAAATCTCCAACGAGGCGTTCTGGGGCAGCATAGACAGGTATTTTCTGTGTTAGAGTTTTACTCGCTACAGGGTGTACTTTGAGGGTTTGTGACTCTGCAGACCGTTTACATGCAGAAAAGGCTTCATAACACACAAGGGGACGGGTAATAACCGGAAAAGCATGACATGGGACGTTTAATCTATTTATTTTCAGGTCATACTGCCCAGCCCTGGCCTAGTGTACGATAAAAAGGCCATTCCCTATGAGATAGGGAATCAAATACACTTCCAATGCTACTGATATTGACTCGTGGCTAAGGATAAAGTTTTAAGTGTTTAGGTTGTAATAAGTGTTCCCTGTTTTAATTTCCACAAAAAAACGAAAAACATCTCACACAGACATATAGAGATATGCACGCACACAAAGACACATTCAGTAAACACACACACACACACACACACACACACACACACCACACCACACCACACGAAGGGATGGAAGTGTCGTTGGAAGATGATTTGAGCTGTGGTAACTATAGATCTTCAGGGAGATGTCTGAAAGAAAAGAGAGGAAGGGAATATTAACGTTTTTTTTTATCTAAGCTAGCAATATTCTTGGAAGATGTGCAAATATCTCAGATTCTCTAGAGATAATGCCAGCCGGTAGTGAGATCTAGGGCAAAACACACAAAGAAACACATGCGCTTGCTCAAATATATATATACACACTTGTTTGTACCACTTTTAGGGACACTGCACATCCACAGTGGTCTTCTGAGAGAAATCACAGCAGGAAGGGGGAATCAGATCTTTTACTTAAGTAAAAGTAGAAATACCACAGTGTAGAAATACTCTGTTAGAAGTGCATGTCTGGCATTCAAAGATAAAGTACAATAGCATCCAAATATACTTAACGTACCAAAACCTAAAGTACTCCTTATAACATTTTCGGAATCATATATTTCATCACTACATTATAATAAGTGATCCATTAATGTCTGCACACTTTTTATGTTGCAGCCAGTAAATGTGGAGCTAACTTTCCTGCTATATACTATTAAGTCATATTTCAAGTACGTCCCAATTTTGATTCATATTATGAATAAAAAAGAAGTATGAAGTAGCATACAATGGAAATACTCAAGTACAAGTATCTCCACAATGTGCTTAAGTAAAATCCCTGAGTAAAAGTGCTTTTAACGACTGCTTCCAATATATTCCAATACATTGTTTAATAAAACCCAGGTTATATTAATGTTTCCACTACAGCATCACTGTGGCTGTAATTCCTATTGTAATTAACACGTGGCAGTGTCCTGTCTGTTTAGTTTGGCGGTTACTTTGATTTTGAACTTTGCTGTATTTCCTATTTCTCCCCATACTGACCTCGGCATCTTCTATAGCACACATGGTGCTGATGATAAACAACAGGAGTCCAGATTGGCTGATAAGCAGGTGTTTACCTGAGGGGTGTTGGGGTGAGGGATCCAATCAGAGGACCCGCTATGGTTGTCCAAAGATAAAAGTGAAGAGATGCCCGACAACCGGTTAGCTTTGAGAAGATGTGGGATTCAGTTAGAGAAGCCAAGGAGTTAAATTGAAGGAAAAGTACTTTATGTGTGGCTAACTTTACGTCGCAGCTGTTATACTTGTATAACAAATGTGATGGTCAGCAAATTACTACTGTCAAATGTGCAAAATGCTACCGGCAATTCATATGTTTAAAATTATACCAAGCATAATTTTCTTTCTCTTTTTATTGTTAAACGCAAGGGGTGTTTTTTTTGTGACAATGTAAAATAGCTTGAACTAGTATCTATGGAATAATATTATGGCAATGGCATATCCTAGGGAATTTGTTCGCTAGTTAAAATTGGAAATACAGCCGGAGAGGAGAGATATGTGCCAGAGCAGCTTCAGAAAACAGAACATGTACTGCTATACCAGGTCCTTCTTAATCTTTGTGTTATTGGTAGTTTCTGCTTGAGGACAAGAGAATGATATTTCTTACTTAGTTCCCTCCTCCGCAACACCTTCAGGATCCAGCTTTCCCTCCTCCTCCATCTTCTCCTCTGAAATCAGTTCCTGTTTCCGGTGTCGACGGAGACATTTCACTACCACCATGGAGAGGATCAGTAGCGCTAAAGCTCCGCCCACTGACGCCCCGATCGCCACTGCGATGGTGGAATCTCTGGGAGGAGGAACTGTGGAGAGGAGAGGGTTAAATAGTGTGTAGACATCGAACTGAGACAAGTGCAATGCTGGCTAAAAGCTCTGATTAAACAGAGTGGAAAGTAAGTGCTGCCGAGTGAGCCGTGTGTGTGTGTGTGTGTGTGTGTGTGTGTGTGTGTGTGTGTGTGTGTGTGTGTGTGTGTGTGTGTGTGTGTGCGTGCAAGAAATGCTGAGAGACTAAGTTAAACCTCTTGTTTGTCTTAAATAAGTAAAAAGCTGACTCATCACCAGTCGGTCCTCGTGCTCCAGGAAGCACACACTTTCTCACAAACAAACACACTCACACACAATGTGTTATACTGTATAAGATTAATGTTTGAAAAAACAATGCCAAAGAAAGCTCAGTGCACCAAATATCATTCATAAATAAGTCCAGATCCTGGGTTAGATTTTTAACAGTATTCTTAACGTTTTCGCATTTCTTGTCATATTATTGCAATGTATTTAGTCCGTTTATAGCTTGCAAGAGCGTAAACAAACACAAACCTACATAAGGATTTTTTTTAGCGTGATTTTTGCGCAACCTTCAAAATTATTCATGAGCCGCTTCTGCTATTAGCTCACAAGGAAGCTGGTAGTGCCGCTCTGTTGACAGAAAAACAAACAGCTGCAGCTTGAAATGAGGTAAGGGCCAAACATGCCGGATAATGATAGTAATTGTTAGTGTTTGTTACCTGAAAATGTGTATTCAAAGTTTGCTTTTTTATAGAAACAATTTGTGAAATAATGAATGATGCTATTTCATGCTCTTGCAGCTCTGAAGTTACGTTTGATTATGTGTGTGACTGCACACGGACTGCAGATGAAATGAACTAATAATAATCTGGCATGAGCCATCTCCTATATGGTTTAGATCAGGGGTTTTCAAAGTGTGGGTAGGTGAGCCTCCCCTCAGAGAACATAAGAACAGCCGCGCCCCCCCTCCCAATTATTATTGCTGTTATTATTATTATTATTATTGTTGTTGTTGTTGTTGCTATAATGCAGGGGTATTCAATTGCATTTCAAAGAGGTCCAGTAAGAGAAAATGTAATTAAATGCTCTGTTTTCGCTGTCTACCTTCCGCCATTTGAAATTACTCCGACTGTTTCTCTCCTCT